ATATGGTTTCTGAGGCTATAAATCTTTATGGGAGCAGAAAGCCTCATCTTTCTCATGCAAAACAGCTGGTAGTTTCGAACTGCTGACCTTAAGGTTTGGAGTCCAATTCATAACCACTACGCTACCAAAGCTCCTTATATGTGTATGTGTGTGTGTTTATGTATGAAACATAAAAAATATATATATGTTTCTTTTTATATGTTCAAAAACAAAGATGCTACTTTAGGATCAAGTTGTGACTTACCATGGTATTTTCACTTGCGTCATATGCTTGCAAAAATTGAAATTGAACAATAAATAAGGAAGATAGAAGAATTGATGCCTTTGATATACGATGTTGGTAAAGAATGTTGAATATACCATGAACTGCCAGAAGAACAAACAAGAAGAAGTAAGGCAGAATGCTCTTTAGAAGTGAGGATGGTGAGACTTCACTTCACTTACTTTGGACATTATCAGGCGGGACAAATCCCTGAAGAAAGAAAATGCTCATTGAGATAAATTGACACAATAGCTGCAATAATGGGTTCAAACACTGTAATGATTGTGAGAGTGGAACAGAACTGGGCAATGTTCATTTCTATTGTAAAAAAAGTCACTGTAAGTTGTAACCAACTACGTGATACAACAACAGTGGAAATAATGGAAAGGAGGAAAGCGGTTAACTAAGCATAATTCAGTAGGAAGTTTTCTGTGGCATTGAGATCTAGTTGAACTTGGCCTGAACTTTACTACTTTAGTCATATTCCATATGTTCTACATCTTCCATATGTTCTACATTTTCCTTTCCTTACTACTTCACTTACTCATGCTTCCTTATCCCACACCTACTATCTCAGTTTTGCCTTCCATCAACTGCCCTCTCACACACAGTTCTACATAAACCACTTATAATTTAGTTATAGCATTTTGCCTTACATAATATTTCTTATGCTATCATATGTCTGCCCCTTCTTAAAAGCTATCTTCCTAGCAGGTGAATCTAACTTAGTACAGACCTACCAACCCTAGGATTCTAGTATATAAAACTTCCCTTATTTCACTAAAGAAGAGATATAAATGACAGATATGCACATGAAAAGATGTGTAGCATGTTAATCATCAGGGAAATGCAAAACAAAACCACAGTGAAAGCCACTTTACACCCACGAGGATGGATAGAATTGAAAAAAGACATAGTAATAAGTGTTGGCAAGGATGCAGAGAAATTGAAACCCTCATAGGTATATTGCTTGCACTGCTTGATGGGGATGTGAAATGGTGTAGCTGTTTTGGAAAACAGTCTAGCAGTTCTTCGAGATATTAAAAATGCAGTTAACCTATAACCTACCAGATCCACTCCTAGATATATATACACCCAAAAGAAATAAAAGCAGACATCACACAAAAAGTTGTTTATCAGTGAATGCTCAAAGTAGTATTATATAAAATAGCCAAAAAGTGGAAACAATAAAAATGCCCATCAGACGATAAGTGGATAAATAAAGTGTGCTACATCCATCCAATAGAATATTCTTCAACAGTCAAAGGAATGAAATACTGATGTATGTTATAACATGCATGAACCTTGAAAACATTATGTTAAGTGAAAGAAGCCAGTCACAAAAGACCATATATTCCATTTATATTAAATGTCCAGAACAGTCAAATCTGCAGAGATAGTAGATCAGTGGTTGCTTAGGGCTGGTGAGGGGTGAATAAGGGTTGACTGTTAATAGGTACAGAATTTCTTTTGGAGTAGTGAAAATGTTCTAAAACTGGTTTTGTTGATGGTTACACAGCCCTCTTATATTAAAAAACATTCAGTTTTATCATTTAAATGACTGAATGATATGGTATATGAATTATATAGCAATAAAGCTATTTGAAAGTAAAACAAAGCTTTCCCATATCTGTGTATGGAAAACGGAAGTCTTTGAAAATAGGAGGAGAGATTGGATCCAGAATATATATACAGAAATGTAACCAGAGAAACAAAGGACCTATACAA